ATATATATACGACTTTGTGCCATAATTCGTACTGATCACTTGTCCCTAAGAATCTCTGCGGCTCGACTCCAACAATAACTAAAAGACTTATAAAAAACCGAACAGTTAGTGTTCAGAAGAATCTGCTCACTATGTGAATGAAATTTATGCATGGAGTTTTTCTGCCTGGACTACGAAAGTGTTTGGCTGAATGGATTGCGTGTCAATTCGACATTTCCAGGGTCTAAAAAAGGCGAAATCGCTCAAACGTCGGCCAGTATGGTACCCAGTAAACCTCGTTATTGACAATCTTTTGTCTGCTCAAGAATAAAACAGTGACTTCGTGAACGCAAGGGATATGTGAGGGGTGCAAACGAACTTTTAGCAACAGATGATTTTCCTGTTCTTCAAAATCACGGATATGGTCGCTCTCTTACACTAATGTATCATTAACGAAGCACTTCTATTCAACATTCTTGATCACTCACACAGCTTAAATTGATTTGTATAGTAGTGGAGGCATTATTATCTATTGTGCGTAATGTTATAGATGCACGCAGGTAGGGCAGAGGTTGGAGGCGCCCTGCAATGCACATGGGATCGGTCCCCAAGCGCCAGGCTCAGTAAGCCCTCAATCCTTCCGGCGTCGGTGAATTGGTACCAGACTTGACTGATAGGATAGCAATACTGGCTTGATACATCGGTAGGCCACTGTGAGTCTTTGTAAAGGCCTGATATGCATTAAATCACTTTCGTCTCCAATGATGCTCAATGAAGTGGAATGCATTGCACATCCCTCAGGGATTTATCGCCGTGGACAGCTTTATCCTTCATCCTTTTTACTGCGACGACCCTTTCGGACTAAAAAAAAATTGTAGAAAACCACAATGATGTTCACCACAATGGCTTATCGAATCACTGTAATGAGATAGTGTCTCAAAGCATGGAGTCTAACGTCCGGGTGCTGAATTGTCCCCGCAAGATGGTACGACGTTCCGGGACCATCCTAGCTAGACAACCTCGAAGAGAGCATAAACGAATGGAGTTTGTTCGACTAACTAAGTGGGAGTCACACTGACATAGAGCTGATGGTTTCAGGATTCGTGGAGAACGGTCACCCACGTAGCGAAGTAACCACGTAGGTCACGATGGGAAATCCTGGCCAACCGGCGGGTGATGATCGTGCGGAAGAGGCGACCACTGACGAGGGCAGGGAACGAGAGGATGTCTCTGCGTCGTCTGCGCACGACTCGTGGGCCGAGTTCCTGTAGTGGCAGTTCCCCAGTGCAGAGGTCCTGAAGCTTGGAATCAGTACCGGTTTCGAGGCAGTACTAACTAATTATGTGAAGAGGTCTCGTGCTTAGTAAATACACATATCGACATGTCGGACGAGTCGACAATGATCACCAGCGATGACGTTCGATTCGATGACGGCAGGTCTGTTTAGCCGCTAATTATAGTACGAACTCTTTCAGTTAGTTCTTAGCGTCCTGAAATCCACTCAAACTTGTTTCCTTTTGTTCAGTTGTCCTGCATCGCCAAGGTCTCCGGATGGATTTGTCTGTGGTGTTGTCGAAGGTGTGGACATATTCCTTAATTTTCCATATTTCTTGGATTACTTGGTCCATGAATCTGGTTTTATGATGAATCTATGACTTCAATACGTTTCCCAATGGATCTTTCCCCTAATGGATTTTGACCCTAATTCCGTTTCATTTCTCAGGCTTTTATGGAAGACCGTGGACGTTTGAACAACGAAAGCATCTCTTTTCTCGACTTAACCGTCTTGGGCTCAACACCTACGTTTATGCACCTAAAGACGACCTTAAACATCGACCACAATGGCGAATACCTTACAACAACGAAGAGACAGGTATTACTGGCTATCACTGCTCTTGATCTTGTTGGGCTTGCGAGGTTGGTATCTTGATGTTGTTGTTGTTGGTCCACGGCTAACTACTGGGCGATTTCGTTGTCTCAGAGCCATGCTGTTACGAATGGGACTTCACTCGTCATGGTCTTGTAGTTTAGACGGACAGCTTTGTGTGTTTCCACAAGCGATACATTGCTGTTGACTTGGAATTATTTAATAACAAAATTTTCTAGCGCCGACCAAGGAACTTTTGCTTCTAGATATCCTGAAGAGTCTAATCGAGTCTGCGAAAGCAAATGAAATCACATTTGTCTATTCTTTATCGCCGGGAATCGACATTGTTTACTCAAAAATTGAGGATATGATCTGCGTTAAGAGCAAGTTCGATCAGGTAAATCCATTTAAGACTTCGTTAGCAGTTCCCAAAATGTGTAATGATTTTGCAAGTATAAGATGCTTGAGGTGTTTTTCAAACCGACCGTCGTTTAGCCTCGGTAATAATAATCAATAACTTTTTCGATTGTTAAACTAACACGAGTTTGATAAACGGTAATAAAAGGATAAAGCTCTCTGCGTTGATCAATCCTTGAAGGATGAACCATGCATTCGACTTCACTAAGCATCATTGAAGGTGATTGAATGCATATCTGGCCTTTATAATGACTAACGGTGGCCTACCGATCTATAGAGTCGGTGCTGCTATCCTACCAAACAAGTTTGGGACCAATTTCTCCACATCGGAGGGATGGAAGGCTTGGTGGGCCAGGAGTGCGGCGATCGATCCCACGTGTGTGTTGCAAGGTGCGCTCGACCATTGCGCCACACGCGCCTTTTGAGAAGGTGTATATCAGCAAAATATTATCCAGCCGGTAACGAATTGTGGATCTTTGCATTTCCATACTTACCTTAATTGTACGTGTAGCGCTGTGCTCGAAGGTGCTTTGCAATACACATAGGATAAATCTCCGCGCTGTAGGCTAATTAAACCTTTCATCCTTCCGGGATCGGCAAATTGGTAGCAGACTTGTCCAGGAGGTTAGCAGCGCTGGCTCGATACGTTGGCAGACCACCTGGAGTCATTGAAAAGACCAGATATGCATTCAATCACCTCCAACAATGCTTAAAGAAGTAGAATGCATGGCGCATCCCTCAGGAATTGATCAGCGCCAAGAGCTTTAATTTTTACCCTCTAGAGATTATGCATTTAAGCTACTATTTGCAACTTTGTTCTAATCAATGTCCTTAATTGAAAGGTTCGTATGCTTGGTTGCGAGTCCTTCGCCCTGCTTTTCGATGATATCGAATGTGAGATGAACGAGACTGACAGACAATGCTTTAAGTCATTTGTTGCTGCACAGGTTCGTCTTTTCCACTTAGCAATCTGTGTTAATTACCAACACCAGGATCCACTACCATCCTGGTGTTGAACTAGTCGCATGGTGCAAATCTTTCTCTGATCCACAAGGGCGACGATTGCTTTTGGTGGTAAGGACTTGAGGCAGAATTTGGTCTCGCTCACCTGGGATTCTAGGGAAGCACAACGGCCAGCAAAACCCCGAAAAGATGGAAGTTATGCTGGGGCCCCCACAACCAGTGAGGATGGGCCATGCAAGTATCCAAGTATGCAAGTGATATATGCAAACAACTTTTGATATGTACTAATAAAACTGATTCTTTCTTGTTCACAAATGAAATCCGAACGGCGTTTTTATGGCTCGTAATGATTTCACCACTTATTCGTCCAAAGAAGGGCATCCTCTTCAGATATCTGTTGCAAACGAAGTTTACGAGTATTTGGGACGACCTCTATTCCTATTCTGCCCAACAGGTAAGCAGATTTGTTTTCCTGTTTATTTCCGGTCTTTCCTATTATGTGCTATATATACTTATATAGAATATTGTGAAAGTCGTGCAGTTCCTTCTCTTGATGACTCCGAATATCTTCTTCAGTTAGGGAAGGAACTTAACGAGAACATTCGCGTCTTATGGACAGGTGCGGCGTTGAATATCATTAACTCGAGTTTTTATTGGGATAAGTCGCATATGTTTTTTAGAATTTACTATGCTTGCTGATCATTGTTAGGCACATTTTCAGGTCCTCGTGTTATTTCTCGCCATATTACTATCGATCATGTCCGCAGTGTGGCCAGAGTTATTGCTCGAAAACCGCTTATCTGGGATAATTTGCATGCTAATGACTACGACCAAAAACGAGTTTTTATGGGAGATTTTTCAGGTACTTCCAGTTAGGTTTTATTGAAGAATCTACAGGTGGTTGCTGATGGCACTGCTAGATAGAGAACTAGCTGAGAGACAGCCGAAACGAAGGACCCATGTGGTGTGGTGGTGAACGCGTTAACCCCCGAGAGGGTAATGGAGCGTTCGTTCCCTACCGCAGGCATCAGCGGTCTGGAGTTTTGAAAATATCTCAGCATCATTGTGGCTGTACTTGTTTTATTTATGAAAATCCCTTTTACTTTATTGCTGTTGCTCTATGGTCTTTCTTCACCCGTATCTTTAGGACGACCTGTGGCGCTTAAGAAGGAGATCTCTGGTTTACTAATGAATCCAAATTGTAAATACGAGTTGAATTTTGTGCCACTACGCACTTTTGCTGACTGGAACGCAAGCACTCAAGATGCTCCATTTAACGGTTAGTCTGTCTGCCATTTTAGAGGCACATTTTGCCCAGCATACTTTTATGGTCCTTCTTTCTTTTATTTTATAGCCTATAGCGTATTTACATGTTCTGCAGTAAATTCCTTGAAATAAATATCTGTTCGATAATCATTCTAAAAATCTTCGATCGTTTGTATTGACGATCTAGAAAAGTTAAATTTTGACTAGATTTTAGTGCTAAGGTTTAATGAATGCTTTACCTTCCCCAAATATTTTGGCACTATATGTCCTCCACTGTGGTCTCACTTCGTATCTAAAAACTTTGTATCGTTTTGTGTCCTTCGCAACCTTCCTACTTTCAGAGCGTCTTTGTAATCCGCCGTTTCATGCGTTTATAAAAGAGTGGCCGTAGATGCGATTAGATGAAGCTTTGTGCGCCGTAGATTTAAACAGAAAGCTGAAATGGTATAACTATTTGGATACTTGGATGGCCCGTCTTCCTGGTTGTGTTGACCTCAGCAAAAGGAAAGCTCGAATTCCCATTTTTTCGGAGATTTTCTGGTTTAGCTATTGTGATTCCCTGGAGTCCCGAGGTCAGCCTGGCCAGTCTGTCCCAGGTCTTTACCACCACGGGCAGTTGCCGCCCTTGTGGTTCAGAGGGAGGTTTTCCACTATTCGACTAGTTTGATACCAGAACGGTTGTGAATTCTGACATTAGATTACTGTTAGGATTACTGTTAGCCGAGTTTTCTGAGGGAAACGCCGGACGCCTCAGCTCGGGAGACCCTACCGGGGGAATGAATTCCGCTGTTTTACTTTGCGGCCCGACACCCAGGAAGCCTGTTAGTCTCGATGAGCGGCAAACCGTTGGGAGGGAAGTAATGTGGAAAAATATTTATATGATGAGCACTTTTTTGCTGTTTGTTCAGCTGACAGTGCACAACGATTACACATTTCGTCCTTTCCCCGTTTACGCTTAACGACTTTATCTTTCTGATCACTCGTAACATTAAGTCAGTTATAAAGTTTCTGTTCAGGTGTGAAAGATGTGATTTAAACGAGATTAGATGCAATGAATAATTTTTACGAATTTAGATTATACAGCTGCTGACAATGGCATTGGATCAGGAATAGTTGATTCACCTCTGTTGTCACGAACTTATCGTCCGTTATTTTCTTTAAGAAATGCTGTTTTGCTTTGGGCTGATGAATTTAATTGTGTCAGCAATCGTGCTATTCTGCCGTGAGCAAATATTACTGTTTTTACTTTTTATTTCCTTCCTTACTCTGTATTCTTTTTTCATGGCAGGGTTGCTGAGATCTTTGCAAAACTCGCGAACGTAATTGAGGATCGAACACGATACTACCCTTTCCAGGGGCTAACGCTTTCACCTCTACATCATCCGGGTCTTTCGTTTCGCCTTCCTCTCAATTGTGAATACAAATAAATAAAGAAAAAGTGTAATTTGATGTAATTTATACTTCTACTTCAGCTTAATTGGGTTCAATGCTCCTTTGTGATCCAGAGATCAATCCCATTGATAGGTGACTGCTGACAACCTGTATCACCTGTGGTCTCGTTGGTCGTCGAGTGGCTCGAGCGGGCGCTAGTAAATCTTCCATTTGTCCCTGTCGTGTGCAAGAGTTGCCCAGTGGGTTCTGCTCGCTCTAGGGACTCGTCCAGCACCATATTTTTCTTCAAGGGTCTTTGTGAAAGACTCTGACCATCGGGTCGGTGGTCTTCCTGCAGTACGTTTGACATCGCGAGGAATTCAGTCACTAACGGCTCTTTTCCATCGGTTGTCATTCATACGCATTACATGTTCAGCGCACCTTGTCTTCGACTGTTTGGCATAGAGAACGGCATATTTGTTTTTTGATCTTTGACGCAGATAGGAGCTTCGGATCCCTTCCCTTGTGTGAAACGGGATACTCCTAGCATAATCACAATCTTAACCGTCTTATTTACTACCTACTTTTTTTTTAGTGGCAGGGCATTTTGATGGTGAACGCGTTACTCCCCGGAAAGGACAATAGCGCGTTCGCTACCCACCCCAGACACCTGTGGTTCGGTGTTTTGCCAATATCTCAGCGTCATTAAAGTCACTCCTAGCATAGTTCTTTCGACTGCGCGCTCATTAACGCTGAGTGATCTTTCATTATGCTTACGCAGCGAACATACGTTGACGCATACGCTAAGGCAGGAAGAATCTTGAAGTTTAAAGGTGGACACGGAGTCGGTTTTTCTTTGTTTTTTTCGCTACATCCTCAATAGTTTTGAAAGCTTCCCAAGCAGCTCGTTTCCTCTTGCTCTACTCTGAAGTCGTTCATCATGTTGATTTCCCTACCTAGATAGAAGTCAATGGAGCATTCGGAGGTATTCATTCCTTTGAGTGTGAGCAGGGCATAAGAAACCAATCCGTTCCTCATGGACGTCGTTTTTGCGAGAGTCGGTCGATATTTCCACAGGTTTTATCAGTACCGGTAAGTTCGTTCCACTCGGGTAATATTTGGCGTTATAAGAAGGATATCATTAGCAGAGCGAGGATGTAATTACCTACCATCGATTTTCATCGAAAAGCGTTGAAAGTGAGACAGAGCGGACTTTTGTGCTCTCGCGATACTACAATGAGCCTTATTATCGTGTGGATGTGGTCCATCGTATCAAATCCTTTTCGAAACCCTGCTTGGTCACATTGCTGCTTTTCTTCCCGTGTTATTTCAATCCTGTTTGGGATGACTAGAGTGAAAAGTCTGTAGGCGACAAAAAGCAGATTGGGCGATAGTTGCTGATATCGTGGATGGCACCTTTCTTGATTATTAGCATGGCCTTGGTGGTCTTCTGCTGATTGGAGACCTGGCATTCAGACAGGTAACGTGTGAAGAGTCGAGCCAGTATGGTTACGAGTACTGGCGGAAGGTTCTTCAGGTGTTCAGATCTTATCCTGCCTAGACCTGGTGCTGTTCGATTTTTCGCCGACGAAATAGAGTGTCGGATTTCGAAAGGGAGAACCGGATTGCTGATAGCACCTATAAAACACGGCTGAGAGAAAGGGTAAACGAGGGACTCACGTGGTATGGTGGTGAACGCGTTAGCCACTGGAAAGGGTGCAAGCGTGTTCGGTCCCCACCGCAGACACCTTCCATCCGGAGTTTTGCAAATATTTCAGCATTGTTGTTGTTATATTACTGTTTTTTTCTAAACATTTGCTTATGTTATTGTTGAAATTGGTTCCATTTCGGAGATGTAACACGTTTATGCACAAATTTCTTTTCAAGGTCATCACAACCGGAAAGTAAAGTGGGAAGTATGGAAAACAGTTGCTCGATGGTGAATGTCAGTGAATGTTAGTATGTCTACGTTCGTATTTAATATCATTGAGAAATACAGCTGTTTTTTGCGTAGTCTTACCTACATTTACAGCAAACATAACGCACGTTTCGTCTGCGCAGTTAGAAGAAGCCTTGAAATCAGTGGTTTTACCTTCGGTAGAGTTGTTTTTACCTCAGTTGTATTTCGTTCACTATTCAATAGGACTCTTCACTATTTAGCCGGTTGATGATGGTATCACAGTGAATTCCTTAACGGCCGGCTATGGTGAAGCAATGGAGACTTCTTTAACTACTGTGAAGAAGGTTTTATATTCATTTTAAGTATAAGAAGTAGAAGATCGAGTAGGTTTTGGAGAGGTTAGAGTTTCGGTTTTGAATGAGGTGATGTTTAGGAAGAAGAGTTCTTGGACCTTATCGAGAACAATACGGACACTTTGGATTGTGTAATGACCGAGTTGGATATGTAAGGGTTCATCAAATGACCGCCATCAAAGACAAGATTCTTGAGAGAACTTTAATTTTTGCGGTTCTGATCCACCTATATTTAGAACGTATATGGCGGACAGCGATCAGATATCGATGTTAGTCGATATGTTTTATCTTCCGTTCGAATGCGGTCGTAGGGCATGTGAACTGTTGGAGCGGTTTTTATGGTTATATGAAAATGCGTTGATGATGAATGGCTCGAAGTTAGTCGAAGGGTAAGTAGGATCTGTTTCTGTCCTTTTCTGTTGTTTCTTTCTCTTCTTTGTTGTTTTTGCTTCTGTTACTTTTCTCGTTCCAACTATTGTAAGTAGATCTCAAATCCAAGCTGAAATCTGTAGAGTGATGGACATAACACAAGGGGAGTGGTTGCGAAGGTTTGATGACTTAGATGCTAGTATTCAAATGGTTAATGGCTTCTTCAAAAGTGTCGTCGATTGCCCTAATAAGGTGAGTTAGCGATTACTTCTGTATATTCATCAGTTTTTTCTTCATTCTCAATAGACCAACGTAGTTAGTGTTGAACAACTTACTAACCGGAATGAATTGCTTCAGCAGTTTGGTGCATTACAGCCATTGGTTTCTGAGATAATTCCCTATATTTGGGATGCCCACGGCAGCTGCTCTGTACTTCTTGGTCTAGCTAGGTGGATGAAGGAAGGTTTTGTTACAGCCAGACCTGGTTAGTGAAATGAAAGACTTCAAATTGTCAATGATATTCCTATTGTGTAGACCAGTTACAACCGTAATTTAATGTAGTACTAGTTGTTACTACTGAAAATGTGAGTAACTCTCATAGATATTGATCGGAAGCGAATTTGTGGTTCTGGGTGGTAAGTATGAATATTACGCTAATCGTGGCCGATTGCCTTAATTTGCTGTAACATTTCAAAATCGACAGGCTATTTCCCGGTTTGAATCGAACTGTTCCGTTTGGGCCGCGATTAGAAGACAAACATGGAATCCAGTACTAGGTTAGGTTCGAAAGTGTTTTCTATCTTGAGAAGGACCTGCAGCTGAGATACCTTTTATTATTTTTGAAATTCTTGTTCACTTCGTGCTATATTAGAACATTAGGGAAACCTATTTAAGGTGGATATTCTTGTTAAGCTGTAAGTGGCATATATATACATATATGCCCGTAGTGAACCATAAAAAGGGATAAAAAGGTAGTGATCTCGGCGTTGATCGATCCCTGAGGGATGCACCATGCATTCGACTTCATTAAGAACCGTTGGAGGTGATTGAATGTTTATCTGGTTTTTATAATGACTCGCGGTGGTCTTCCGATGTATCGAGCCAGCGGTGCAGTCCTCCTATACAAGTTTGGTATCAATTTGCAGTACCCAGAGGGGTGGAGGGCTTGGTGGCCCTGGTGCACACGGTTTGATCCCATGTGTATTGCAGGGCGCCATCGACCATTGCTCTGCACTCGCCCAGTGAACCATATATGAAGAATGTTTAATTTTCAGTAAAGAATTTTAAATTTTTTAAAGAGTCTGTAATGGTTCTAGGTAAACTACCAAGTTTTTAGACGAACAACCTCACTTGTGGAGAAACGATCGCGAAGATGAGCCATGGATGATTGGAGGAGGTTTTCTTTCTGAGTGTGCTAGGTTAGTTTCCAGTGATAGTTTGTATTTACTGGAGGTAGAGAGATCATTTCCTCTTAATGAACACATAGGGCTTCTTTTTTAATTTTTCTTTTCTGGAAACCATGGATCATGTAGTTAGTTCTTAATCTCACATTATTTCCGTGTTTCTTTAGGCTCGTTGCTCCTCAAGGTCCCATTGTACGCCTTTTCAACAACCGAACTCTTCTTCCTCTTTCCATTGTGAACTATGAAATCCGTCCCTATACAGCGGATGATCTGGTACATCCAATAATTCATGGGAATAGTCAATACAGTCTACAATCATCTGAGCTCATTTTTAGGACTTTTTAGCTTCATTATCAGTCACGTGTATGGATGAATCAGATGTCTCTTTCGCCACTCAGAAGGAAATGTTTCTAGACAGGTAAATTGCAGCGTATATTTCGAAATAAATGAGCATTGGATTTAGTAAAAGTTTTCTTTAGGTTTATAGTGCCTCTCCTTGACAGTAGTCCGCAGTACTGCTTTTTAGCTCAGGAAATTCTGTCTCATAGTGAGAATAAGGTAATTTCGTACTAATAGAAGCGGTGGTCATATTCACTCTGTTTGAATCTTTGAGATTTAGCACAGTGAGGATCTCCTACTATTTTTTCGTTTTTTTCTGCTTTACTTTTTTTGCTACTTTTTGCCATCGTTTGTTACTGTTATTACCTTACTTGGATACGTGGATGACCCATCTTCACTGTTTGTGCGGCTTGCAGCACAGTTTCCACTTTTTCGGAGTTTTGCTGGTCTAGTCATTGTGGTTCTTCGGAGTCGCGAGGCCAGGTTGGCCAGTCTGCCCCAAGTCGCCACCACCACAGGCAGTCGCCAAACTTGTGGATCAGAAGAAGATTTGCTACCATGCGACCGTTTGATGCTAGGGCGGTGATGAATCCTGGTATTGGTTTGCTGTTGGCTGGGCTTCCTCGTGAAAAAACCGGACTCCTCAGCTTGGGAGGCCCTGCTGGGGAGATGAGTCCCTCCGCTGTACATCGCAGCCCGAAACCCAGGAACACTTTTTAGCCGATGAGGCGTACACCGTTTGGAAGACTGTTATTGTGATTGTCGTTATAGCCGTTTTTAAATCATTAATTGTCATTCCAATTTTCACTTGTGTTCATTACGACGTCATCATTCCTATTCTGATTATTACTGATAGATGTTTCTAGTGGTTATATTTTTTGTTGTCTTTGTATTATTATTAAATGTGGTTACAACTCTTTTTTAGCTCATAAGTTCTGTTTCTGCTCATCCCAACGCTCGCTGTTGGTTCGACCACATTCCAATGTATACTTCATCGTTAAAGACCAAATATGCTAGTCGAGAGGATAATGGATTCAAGGTTAGACCCATTATTCAACGTTTCTCTAAAAAACGCCATTCAGTTTTTTTCATAGGTCGATCATATTGACAAGTGGTATCCGACTGTCCCAGATAACATTTTCATCCAATATCCAGCATGGTTGGATGCACGTCTTCTGGTCGATGCTTACGATTCGGTTCCAACTAGGAAGCTGGTTCAGGTTGCAGCTGCGGCGTTGTACATAAATGGTAAGGTTTTCAATTTCATGATGACTTTCCTGGTTGAGCAATCGCTTCGATGCCGAAGATATGAGTTTCAAAGGAAAAAGCGAAAAGCGAGAGAGACCGCTTTTTGATTCCAGAAGTACAGAATTTCACTGCGGTGGATTAAGAGACTTTAATCTTGATGTTGAGTAAATGTATATTCCAATATCTTATTATTTCAGTTGTTAAAATGCACTAGCATAGAAATAGTAACCTGAAATTGAACAGCTGAATATTTTCGTTCTGGTATGAGACATGTGTAACTCTTAATGTTGTGAATGTATTTTGAATTAAATTAGGTTTTAGTCATCGTAGAACTTTTCAGGCTGTTCTGGAATGTTCGTTACCATCCCTATTACCGCAGGAGATCACGTAAATTTCTTTACAAGGATTGGATTCTCAGAACTTGGTAAATCAATCGATGGGCAGTTTACAATGTTGGGTCATTTGCTTTCCGTTGATGAGGAATTTAGAGAATGAGTCATTATGAATGAACTAGCTATAACTCTTTTCATTACAACCACTAGTGTATTTTACTTTTTAAACGTTTTCTTCGGATGTTCTCAGGTTGTGTCACTGAATCGCCCACTGCCTATTTTCTATATATATGCTGTGTCTAATAATTTTCTGTCTCATTACTTTTCATCGATAATACTAGGAAGAAATTTGACTATTATTTCCATGGATTATACACAGGTTCACTTCTATTATTAGTATAAGTGAAATCAAGTCGAAAGACCGACTAATGTTCTAGTTGGCTTTTTGCCTGATTCTACGTGCTCTGGAAAGGTTCTAGCCTTCAGATTCCAAACCATGTCTATTTGTTAAGCGATTCGAAAGTATTGCTATTTAAACTGTAAGTTTGATCCATGGATGTATTTTTTATTGGATCACTATTTTTCAGTCCTAGCTTATATTGCAAATACTGGTAGTAACAATATATCTGTCGACCTTCCTTCCGATCTTTAAAAAATAAATGACGTAATGGTTTACTTTCATTTGCTGCCTATTACAATGCTGATTTACAATGCTGATGGCACTGTGGCAAAGATCGATAGAAATAGCTGAGAGACAGGCGAAACAAAGGACCCACATGGTGTGGTGGTGAACGCGTTAGCTCCCGGAAAGGGCAATGGCGCGTTCGTTCCTCACCGCAGACACCTACGATCCGGAATTTTGTAAATATCTCAGCATCGTTATACCTGATGGTAGCGTTTCATGGTACGATAGTACGTCTTAATGTTATGATAGTTAAAATGGTCGATATTAGAAATATCCTAAAGAATTCGTGAAAGCTGCGAAGCCGATTGGAATACGCTATAAGGTGTAACGTTCCATTTTTTTGGCCACCATAGCTCGGACTAATCCGATGAACTAACTTAGACACAGTCTTCGTCCATGAATTACTCTGTGCGGTGCTATCCATCAAGTAACTTAAATACTTACAACGAATAAACGGTAGGTGTTTAAATGAAGCTATTTCTTATGCGAATAGAAATTTATTTGTTGAGCTTTGTCTACTGAGGTTATGAAAGTGTTTGGCTGGGTAGATCGCATCTCAATTTGACCTTTCCAGGCTCTGAAGGAGGCGAAACCGCCGAAACGTCAGCTATTGTATCCTAATAAATTCTATGATAACAACCTCGTGTTTGCTTATTGACGAAAAACATCGGATCTATAGTATGATTTCCGGTTGCCTTCTGATGAACAAAGTCAGTTGTTTTATCTTCACAGACCAGTCCAATACCAGTTTGCCCTCTCATCGAGAAAGCCAGCACCTTGTTTGTCGAGGGACAATCAAAAAAACGTTCGGTGAATAATTGGTGCCATTGTATTCGTAGGCCAACGTAGGATAACGTAACCTACTGGTTTATTCTTTGCTTTCTTCGTACTTTTATTGTGGATTACAAAACTCGCATTAATATATAATGTCTTTGTGGGAATGCCGAATGCTGTTCGACAAGGCTCTAAGCAGTGGTATGAACTGGTAAGAATGGACACAGAAATTTGAGCTTAAGTCAGCAGATAGACTGGAAGATAACCAAGTATTCATGAACTAAGAGACAGCATTTTTAAGGGATATTTTTGTTTGAGGTCGTTATATCGATGGTATATTAAAATGGAACATGTAGGCTGAAAGATGAATATGGAGAACTGAACAATATAGAGCATGGTAGACGTGAGATTAGTCGAACAAACTAGAAATCTAAAGACAAAGAAGTGAGAAAAATTAAGAGTAAAGAATATGTACTGATACGGGGATGTGGCCGAAGAGTTCAAGCGAGAAGATTCATTCATATTAAACAGAGGTATGTGTAAGCGAACACCTACCAGTGAAGGTGAAAGAACGCACAGCTACCAGCTCTTTCATTACGATACACTTTTGACTTTACAGTGCCTGTGACAAAATTCCTAACAAAAGTGATAAGTGTGGGCTTTCAAACACATTGAAATGTGCATTAGAATAATCAGTTGCTCCTTAAACTGAGCGTTTCTCATCGCTATCGTCACTGCTTGAAGTTGAAGCCGTAGAGACGGTTCTTGTATGAGTATTAACGGACCCTTCAACAGCCAAACGATGAAGTTCTGCCTTCCGTCGCTCCTCTGTATACTCACAATTGTCATGACCACATTTGCATGAAAACTGTGGCAGCTAAAAAAGATTTTAAATATTCAATCATTTTATGCGTAGTAGAGAAGCGATAGTAAGTGGTATGTGGGAGGGAAGAAGGTAGGGATAGCTAACGGTAATAAACTCGTAGCGTGTAGTCTTTAATATTTAACGGACGACATGCATCGTTTTTTCGCGAGTTCCAATTCCGAGAAATATTAAAATTTTTATATTTTTTTTATTCTATAAGGCCCGTCTTCACGTCTACCGTTTGGATCGCAGCACTTCTCACATTCGATTTGTTTCCTCGCATCACTCAATCACTAAGGTCTTCTACCTTTTACGTGTGACTTTGGCTGCTGCCTGAAGATTTTCATTTCAACACAAATGTAGAATGCTGGTCGAGTCGATTCTCACTAGAGTCCTGACATAGATGGAATAGAGCGTTCCCATTTCAGAGAGTGATTTTTCCTGAACAAGTCCGTTACCAATTTTCCTACCCCGGAGGGATCAGCGGCTCGGTGACGCCGGAACGGAACCAAACCAGCTAATTTTTTGGAGGATCTCTTTTAGCATCTGCTCCAGATAGCTCTAAGGCGTATTGCGACAACTTTCCGTAGAGAGTTGATAGACCTCTTGTATCAACGATGATCACATTATTCACTGAGTGATTCACTAGTAAATTCGATTCACTCCTTTCCAAATCCAGCGCTGTTCAGTATGTCTGATTATTGAAGAAATAGGGAAGCATCACACATTATATTATGGGCTTTTCTGTCGAGAATGTAGCCAGGTGGACCTTGCCCTTGCATAGATTCATTCTTAGCATGACTTTGAGATGGAAATTTCGAACTCGTTAGTGATGATAAGATAAGTGTACGCAACTTTTTAAAACGTAACAAACAGCCACTGAACAAAGCTGAGAACCTCAGACGGGCTTCGAGTCTGTGACTACCCTATATGGGTGCTCATGTGCTATCCATCACACCCACTCAGACCCTCGTTTTGCCTTTCTCTTAGCCATGATTTTAGCCCATAGATGTTACCAGTAAACGCTCGTCAAAGGGAATGGTCTGGGGAGCACAAATCGGCAATGAACGCAGTTAGGTGAAGTTGCAATCAATATCACAGCGTCCTAACTCTTCACTTAGTGCCGATTCTTTTGTCATGGATAATCGCGGATTCGAAACGCTCTTGAGGTTCCAACTTTTACTTGTATCAATGCATCCTTGCGGTTGTAGTTCACATCATGGCTTAGAATAGAAACAGTTGGGCAGCAAATTAAAAGTTAAAACATAGCAAACATTTTTTAGCCTAAACAAACTTCAGTAAACACATTGGTTTGAGAGGTTTTTGAAGAATATTACGTGCTGAGGAAGACTTCCACATCGAAATCATCCTATTCCTGAGTGATTTGAGATAAAAGGTGATGCAGGTATGGCAATTAACCGTAATGGTATAGCAGGACACGCAGCTACCATCATTGGCACCATTTAGAAATTAAAGGCAACAACAATATCCCGTCGAGTTTCAGATATTTCTAGTCCGTGAACCTGATGGAATCACAATACCCTCGACAAAGACCTAATAACTACTGGGAGCATTGAGGATTTCAGTTATGAAACCAATAACACTGATCGATATGAGGTGATCAATACAAAGAATGGAAATTTTCTTGGTCTAGACGACAAAATCTAGATGATAAGTGAAACCAAAGGATTTTAATGTTTTTGCAACCTCTTGTATGAACATAAAGAGCTCAGGATTTCCAACAGAAGGTGGTGATACAAAAGCGGCTAAGAGGCTCCCGTTCGGAGTGTTAAAGGTACGATTTCCTTTCAGATTTTTTGGAAACCTCTATCCTAGAGAAATTTAAGAATGCCGTAACATTTTCGAGAGATCACTTTATAATTGTGGGTGTCTTCTGTCGAGGAGTTATCGAAGAATTAATAGTATTTGCTCAAAAAGCAGCTTAGGACTCTAAGCACTAGACTTGTACAATTTAAAGAAATTTCATGAGCTTTGATTTGGTTGACAAAGTGACAAGTTAGGAAACAACAGAAGCTTACTGTACATTTATAAAGATCAACAGCACGACGAAATTGTACTGCTCTTTAAGTCGCGTTCTAAAACCTTCGTCATCTAACCTTATAGGTGGCTTTCATGGCACCGAAGGAAAATTTTAAAGGATATATATAACCAACAGCTGTGGACGATGGATGCGAGGAAGCGAATTGGATGTGAGAAGTGCTGGGATGCGCACAGTAGGCGTGAAGACGGATCAAAATATAACAAAATAAGAAAAAATAGCCAGCAGCCTAGGTGGTTCGAATAAGCTTCACTTACTTTAGCTTTCCACCAAGATTCTCCATATGATATTGTTATTTCGTCGCCTTTAGAAATATTTTCAGTGGCAAAAATGCAAATATGATTGAGCTTTTCTAGTTGAGCTTCCCAGATCACCATGGCAACCTTAAATGAAATCATGGAATTATTATCCTTTCCATATGTGAGTTTAGCCCTTGTGGATTCCTCTTCGGTATTTCTGAATTCTGTACAATCTGAAAATTACTGCATTGCAGCGATATTGTGCGTCTGATTTCATCTTACCGCAGCATTTGGATGGCAGCTATGATTTATAAAACGTGTGAAATTGCCATAAAGTCGTGCGTCCACTGTGTACAAGCTTTTGCCCTGGAAAGAGATCATAACTGAACAGAAGAAACGCAACGAAAACAACTAGAGAACCTAAGAGTCATGTTGGCATCATAGTGAGAAACGATGTAATACAGGCATTGGGTAAAATGCATGCGCGTTCTGTATTCTAACATCGCCTATCCTGCTTATAAAGGAAAGACATATAGGAATGTGTTTTAAGTATTAACTTTTATAACTATTATAATGCTGAGATATTTGCAAAACTCCGGACCGTAGGTGCTTGCGGTGGGGAACGAACGCGCTATTGTCATTTCCGCTGAGTAACGCGTTCACCACCACACCATGCAGGTCCTTCGTTTTGCCTGCCTCTCAGATAGCTCTATCGATCTTTTGCCATCAGCAATCACCCGTCAACGGGATTGTTCTGGGGAGCCCAAATCGGCACAGAATCCAGTTAAGCTGAGGCTATAGTTATAATCACAATCTTAACCATTTTATTTACTGCTTATTCTTTTTTAACGGCAAGGTATTTTGCGAAATATAACTACTATAATGCTGAAATATTTGCAAAACTTCGGACCGCAGGTGTCTACGGTGGGATTAGGGCTCCCTAGATCAGTCCCGTTGACGGGTGCCGATGGCGCCGATCAGTAGAACTAATTGAGAGACAGGGGAAACGAAGGACCCGGATGATGTGGTGGTGAACGCGTTACTCCCTGGGAAGGACAATAGCGCGTTCGTTCCCCACCGCACGCACCTGGGGTCCGGAGTTTTGCAAATATCTGAGCATTATAATAGTTATATTTCGCAAAATACCCTGCCGTTAAAAAAGAGTAGGTAGTAAATAAAATGGCTAAAATTAACTTTTATATTCAAATAGACAAGAATCACCTAGCTACGGCACGTTCTGAAACACGTACCACTCTCGTCTCGAAAAAGTACGTATCGACGCGTTCTGATCGAGCCATTTCGGTATCGCTTAATAGTTCGCCGGTGTATTCTCCTATGAAAGCACCTCTTCGTATGTCTCGCAGAGCTCGTACTGCCCAGCCGCGTCCGTCACAGGTACGGAACACCTGACAGATAAAAAAGGATGGAGTTCTCGTTGATCAAACACTGATGGGTGGGCCATGCATTCGACTTCATGAAGTATCTTTAAAGCTAACTGAGTGTACATCTCACCAATGGAGTGGCTTACGGTGACCTACGAGGAGTCCGTTACTAACGCTGGATGGATAAAAGGCAAGGTGAACATGGGTACGGGATCGAACCAACGACGATGTATGTATTGCAGGACACTTCCAACCTTTGCGCTATATGCGCTACTAATTACAGCAAATCCGTATAAAAGTCGTAAGCTCACTTCAATTGCATATGTAGCGCCTTTCTGCGCAACACGATTTCCGCATCGTAAACTGCATGTGCATACAGCGCTACACTCCATGAACGGCCATTCCGGTAAGGACTCATGAGCGAACCCTAAAAGAGTTTGGTTAAAATTCATAAGCAAACATCCACATACAGTACACAGCCACCTAAATTCAAACCAGACGTTTCATTTATTCTTGGCACCACCGACTATTCAGAAATAGTTCACCACCTCATAACGACTGAGACGAATCCCGCGATGTACGACGAGGTTTGATCTGTCAAACACAGTCACCCAAAAGTTCACAAAAGTTCGATATTTCCAGTCGATTGGATCCAGTATAATGCAACATCCAGTTTGGTAAATCTATGCCACAGTAGAAAAAGGTGAGCTAGCTGTGGTTAAATTATAGCCTAAAGGAGTAAGGAAAAAAGGATTTATGGCACCAAGATTGCGAATATTTTCGTTTCTCTTGACTAAACGAGTAGAGTCCCTTGACGGCTCTGACGCAAGATCGCCACGAACGTTTCGAACGAATTCACTAACTGGTAGTTTGACTGGTAATTCACTGCTTTCACACTTCTAGTTGCTATCATGGTTATTGCATGGAATGTGCGAGCATAAACAATTTTGAAACAGACACACCAGAAGTTGCAGAACACTGGCAAATAATGGTGTTAATACAATCACAACGTTGCTGAGATATTTGCAAAACTCTGGACCGCAGGTGTCTATGGTGGGGAACGAACGCGCTATTGTCCTTTCCGGGGAGTAACGCGTTCACCACCACACCATGCGGGTGCTTTGTTTCGCCTGTCTCTCAGCTATTTCTATCGATCTTTGCCACAGCAATCACCCGTCAGCGGGATTGATCTGGGGCGCCCAAATCGGCATAGAACCCAGTTAAGCTGCGGCTGTAGTTGAAATCACAATGTTATACCTTTTTATTTTCTGCCTACTATAATTTCGCGGCACCCTACAGGTACTAGTACCCTGCCGCGAAATTATAGTAGGCAGAAAATAAAAAGGTATAAAATAGTGTTAATACCATTCATATCCATAGATCCATGAACCAAAATTTCTTCCTCACTACTGTCATAATCACACCTCCTCAAGCCCTCTGGTTATCGAAAAATTAATGTTCATTTTTAAAAAGCCAACAGCTCCATAAAGGCTGGAAATTAGCCGTCGTCCCAAATGCAGGGTCGCTGATGTCCATCCGTCCGTTGTGTTAAGTGAGAAAAGGGACACCTTGCCTGCCCGTAGCTTCGATTCTCGTTTCTGTCTCGAATGAGTCGAAGGCCTTATTTAGATATGATACAGCATTTTAAACTCGCCATAGTTGCTCCTATGGGTATTCTTCGTTCATTCATCTTTTAGTCTTGCAGTCTTGCTAATTATGGCTATGACAAAAAACTCATAGACGCCAGATAGTGTGTCAGATGGGAGACAATGATGTCCATTTACAGTTTTGTACACGTTTCTTTTTCTATGTGTCGATATTCGGAAAGGAAATCAAATAAGAAGGGCAGTCATAAACTATTTTTACTGTGTATGAGAAAAGATAAAGCAAAACGAAGAAATAAAGCCTTTTTGGCGAGCAAAATAACTTGATAAGAGTGTCCTAGCAAGTTTAGCCGACATAAAAATAGCGGGATGAAATGTGGCCTACCGTATTCGTCATAAATTCCACTGGTACATTCACAGCCCGTTGAACAGACTCCTTTGCAGTTGCAGAACTAAATCGAACTACAGAATTAGAAAACTGCCTAATAAAATGTGCAACTGGCGTTCAGAATAGGAAAACCCCAGAAACAGAGTTTTGGCCAACTCGAGAGACAGGCAATTGAACAACTGGCACGCCTTTGCCATTTCCGTTACAAGGCAGCACAGTGAAGAGCCAACGTCACGTATGATTTGATACAAAATTCGTGTAATTGGTTTTCGAAAGATTTATTTAGAGGAAAAAAGTGAAGTACAATGAAAACATCTAAGGTGGGCTCTTAATAACTCTATTTCTTTCTTTGTACATGAACTGTTGATACCAACAGCTTGGCGATAATTTGCAAGGTTCGAGAGATATATAAGCAGAATTGGTCTCATTTTTGAAGCAAGGCTGATGAACAAATTGTTCAGCTTACCGTAACGAGCGTGTTCTGCCTCGCAGCCAAAATTCCATTCCTATCCAGTATCCGGGTCGTGTAGATAAAATTGGGAATTTTTGCCGCATCCACATCATTTATGACACGAACTGGGAATCTCTCGGACCCCTTCGAGAGGTCTCTATAAATCAGCAAATTGAACAAGCAGGGAAATAAATCCGAGTGAACAATTCTCACAACCATCTAGGATTGGTGAAAGCGTTTAATAATTCGTGATTTATTAGAAACTTACATCGATGGCTTGTACTTTCGCGAATTTACTCGAGCCTCAGAATTTCACTTTAACAAAAATCCCACAAATTTATACGTGGGGTTTTCCCGAGGGGCAAATCATGATTGATTTCTCTGTTAGAGAGCACAGTGCTGCGGCAGTTACACAGTTTGACCAAACATTGAATGTTATTATTGAGAGTAGATTACTTGATTTCTATTACATCCGAGTAATACGAAATAAAAAAGCCATCTTTGCAGAAAATATCGTTTTACTGCTCTATTAATGACTGAAGCGACATTCGTCGAAGAAATTCAGTATCGCTGCCATTCAGATGAAGTCGATTAAGGGCCACTAACGCTGGTAACAAGTTGAGATGCTAGGAGGATCTACATCAATGGATAGTGGAAGTATTTGTTTTTTGAGCAACTTCGCCATTAAAGATTCCACTACATAATCATTAACGGGAGGGGGCAGAGCAATAGTAGTGATCCCGTTCATAAGGTGGACGGTCCAACCTACTCAAAGCGCTGGCTCGACCCCATCATGAGCCCACCTAGTCTCTAACCGCTTCGGAGTCGAAGGATTTGAGCCAGATTTGTCTGGGATAAAGCAATTTATTTCAATCCACGTAAGAAGACGTTAACATAGCTATCTCAGGATGCCAGGAATATTGGAGTTGATCGCCATTAAAAATGTTGGTGACGAAGGCGAAAAATCCTCAAAAGCAGCCGAACCCACATGCAAGAATAGTTCGAAGACCTTCGTGGGTGGTGAAAACGAGTAAAAGAATTGAATGCAGGAACTACGGAAATCCGAAGAGTGTGATATACGTCGGGTCATGCAAATAAATAGATAAGTGAATAAATAAATGAGCCATTAGCATCCAAAGACCTCCCTTTGTGACGGATCAAGAAGTTGAGAAGAAGTTAAACGTGAGCAGAAGATGAGTTCTTGCGTTCTTCTCATGCATCGATTTGACAAACTCCTTCTGTAGTATTTCGAAACCGACTTTCCTTGAGCCTCCGTATCACTAATCAATATGTATTCTTTCTTTGATGATAATAGGTTGAGGTTGATAATGATATTTATTTATTATCGGCTAACGTTTCGACGTCTTCGTCTTCCTCAGAGCCGGTGATCCGAGTCGATGGTCCATGCTTGTTGTTCGTCTCGACGTTGCAGCTTCGCCTTCGTGTCGAGTCAGGTCTTCCTCAGTGAGCCATCTTCTCGAATGAGGCATCCTCACTCAGTGACGCCCTTTCATACACGATGCTGATGGTGGATATAATGATAATGTCCGGTGGTAACAACTTGTATTTCTTCCGGACTTACATCATTGCCCACATCGTGCAGAAGTCGGTTTTTTTATCAGCTAGCACAAAGCGTAGTAATATTTCGAAACCGACTTTCCTTGAACCTCGGTATCACTAATCAATATGTATTCTTTCTTTGACTTTCAAAAAAAGTTGTACAAGTTGTTGTACAGTTGTACAAATACAAGTTATTACCACCGGACATTATCATTATATCCACCATCAGCATCGTGTATAAAAGGGCATCACTGAGTGAGGATGCCTCATTCGAGAAGATGGCTCACTGAGGAAGACCTGACTCGACACGAAGGTGAAGCTGCAACGTCGAGACGAACAACAAGCATGGACCATCGACTCGGATCACCGGCTCTGAGGAAGACGAAGACGTCGAAACGTTAGCCGATAATAAATAAATATCATTATCAACCTCGTGTAAGCTCATCAAAGAAAGAATACAAACTTCTGTGTTTACGTGGATGTGTTCAGGCATGTATATGCGAGCGTATTCTACTTTACGCTGAAGAATGCATTCTACGAGTCAGTTCGGCCAAGAGACTAATCGAGTGGCTTGGTCACCACAACGCATAAGCTGCAATATTAATTAGCTGGTCGAAGAGACTGGAAAACTATACTTGATGCAGTAAGTAAATCTCGAGAGCTAGATAAGATATGTGTAAATATCGAAAGCTAATCACAGTAAAATACACGGGCTTTATTATTCTGACTTCTCCGATTTGGCAGGGATTAAACGGGAAGAGTATGTAGAGGCCGGTAAAATCACAGAGCCATTCTAGGCTGCCCAAATCTCGAAAGGCTGAAGTGACAATCTCTACCTACAATTAACGTTCATTCGCATTTGAGTTCTCTATTGACAACTTGATGATGCATGCTAAAAGGATAAAGTAAGACGTCATCGCACTGGCTGGAACGAGAAGAGGCCGCCCATTTAACGCTTTCGATGACTGCGGAAAAGAACTGCTCCTCGGAACATGCTACAGTTAGGTGTCGGCGGCATAGCTGTTTTCGTTGACACCAGTTTCGCCATGAACATCCGAACATTCGAACATACGTTCACTCGAGCAACTATCAATCCCAGGCGGTTGCTCACGGTTTAAAAAATGTGGATTAATACCGGCTTTGACCATTTTCACTGTTTACACACTCACATCAAGTGTGACGATGACCCAGGACAATTTCCGAAGAACGTTATATTGAGACCCACGCCATTCGTGGTCACTTACAATTCCAGAACTCCTGCTATCAGCGGTGGAGATGAAAATTCTCCTAACGGGAAGTACGATAAAGATATAGACCACATCACAATAAGCTGGTTTTTACCTAACCAGTTTCCTGGTTATCTCGAAATTGTGCACTCAATCGGACAATCGCCTTCTTCGCGCAAGTCTCTGTTTTTGAGAACGAAGGAGAAACTTGTAAAATTCAGGGAATAGAACCCCAAGAATACAAAAGATGGCATTTATTTAAATTCACAATCGGATTTTAGGAAGGTGTCGTGAACGTTCTCCAATTACAAGATCAAAACGATTGCACTCCGACACTCAAACGAACCCTTGTGGATTTCAGAACTACAACAGAGAAATCATCCACAGCAACTATTCGGATCTTTTCAACAGCCACGTCCCCTTTCCTTCATATGAAACAAAGGAGCGTGGATATGTCGTCCCACCGATTCTTGGTTCTAAAATCCGACAGGCAATTTCGTAGGCGCACAGCCGTACAACACCATGGCAGGATAAAATCCAGACATTCATGACATAACCACTCCGCTAGTCTTCGTCAACATTGGGTCTTCTGTTTACACGCCACCTGCCAGAACGCAAGGTTATCATTCAATGGAAGTCCAGCAACACCATGTTGTTGCACAAAACGAACAGTTAAACACTATGGTAAGCCAATCTCCATGGTGCCGCGGCTATAGAAAGACTAGTCTTGGACTAGGTCACAAGAAAACGATGTTCACGAAGCACGGATTCGTTTATGTTTTTGCATCCTTCATACAATAGGAGTGAGTATGCTCCAGCTGTGTTTACCTGAGCCGGGAAGTCAACATGATGAGCATGACGATGAACGACTTTGCTCCAGAGCTGGTCTGGAGGAAAAGAGTTACTTGAGGGGCTGTCAGGATCATCGGAAATGTAGTGAAGCTAAATCCGTGTCGACCTTTCCGACTACGATTCTAATTGCTTTAGTCGGCGTAGCGGAGAGCAGCTCGCAGGTACGTACGTAAACAGGTTATTCACTCAGTGTTAATGAAGGCGCTGTGGAGAAGGCAACACTGAGCGTATCCCATATCGGGTGAGTGACAGAAGGAATCCAAAGATGCGATCAAGGTCAATGATCAAAGGTTCAGGATATAGCTGATCATGACGACATGTT